ATTTAGAAGGTGTGTGCATCCGTGTCATCGCTATTTGACACCAGATGACACACACGATCTATGTGTTGTTTGTTTGGGCGAAGAGCACGCACGCGATGTCCTCGAGGGGGCAATCTGCGTGCACTGCGAGCGTTTTCCGATGAAAAAGCTCAGTTCTCGTTTGTCTCTCTTTTCGCGTAAAGAGGGGGAGCCATCTGCTTCCCGCGGTTCAGGACCCGCCGCTGCCGAGGCACGGAGGAGAATGAGCTCGTGGGGATCGCAGGTGGACCTGGCCGATGAGTTTAAAGAGGGGCTTTCAGATCGCTTTGGGAACGCCCCTGCGTGATCGCGTTCTGAAGCACGTGTCAAATCAGCCCAATGGAGTAGCGAGACGTCACGAGCGGGGCGAGATATCGTGGGCAGGGAGGAACACAGCGTTTGTAATGCCATTCGCTCGCCATAGATTTTTCATGATTGTTTTATATATGTTTGTGCGGACAGACAACAGTAAATAGACAGACACATACACAGAGCGCTACTGAAGAGCAGAAGCTGGTTTGCGCTCTGCCGGATGCGCTTTTATACTTTCTGGTGCTTACGTCACCCCGCTCGTGACGTCTTGCTACTCCATTGGGCTGATTTGACACGTGCTTCAGAACGCGGTCACGCAGGGGCGTTCCCAAAGCGATCTCGACGCAGCTTGAGTTCCTGAAGGGGAACCATGGTTACATAAGTAACCTGAGACGTTTTTTTTGTAAGAAAACAAGCAGTTAGTAAATGAATAGAGTTTTTTTTAAAGAATAGAATTAGAATAGAGATTGCTAGAGTTAGAGGGTCAAATAAAGATGTAAGAGATGTGTTTTTATATTTATATTTATATTTATTTATATAAATATAAATATTTATTAGATATTTTTTGTGTATGCTGGAATAAACTGTGACATTAGAACACATTTTTTATCTGTTACTTTCTTTAAATAATTCAATTATGCAGTAACATGATTAATAAAAAAGCTAAAATGACTTGAATCAATGTCAATAAAATAAGACCTTAAATTACCTTGCAGCAAATTGGGTCATGACACAGTTTACCTCATCGCATGAACTTCTTAAGATTTATTTAAAGATTTGGAAAAGGAACAAAATACCACCCAGTAACATCTTTGTTACGGAGCGAATGGTCAATTCTGATGATGAGAAGCAGATGGAGACTGGGAAGAAATAGACAAAGAATAGGCATGGTAACCAACGGAGATCATTGAAACATTACTGCATCTGGTCATCTAATCTGGCTGTTTAGTGTAGCACAGTGACAGCCCTGATCCTCAATTAGGGCTACAGATAACTATAACAATGAAGCACTCAAGTAACTCTGGGTAATGGGATTATGGTTTGCTTTCTTAGTGCTAATCTCTGTCCACTACTGTGGGAGGGGGCCTGTAAATTGAAACAGCAGACCTCTTTATTGAGTTATTAAAGCTGTTTTGTTAATAAACTTCTTGTATCAAGACACATATTTGCTTGAATTTACACTTCCACTCATTGCAATATATTCAGATTCTTATGATCTGGATTGGTACAAAAAAGCATCAGCTAAGAAGGCTAATAAAAAAATCTATTTTGACACACTGCACCTGGTGTTTATAATGTATTTAGCTACTTGTGATGTTGAATTAAATAGATCAAAGTGCATGTGGTTATGACAAAACAATGCCATGCACTCTAGAAATGTCTAATATAACATCTAGCAAAGTTATATACTCAAAATCTAAATTGATGAAAAATTGTTCAAAAATTGTTCTATTGACTCAATTAATTTAAGTTGTTACAACAAGACTAGGGCTGTTTTGAATTGAGTTCGATTCCGATTCCTGGTTCTGGAATCGATGGGATTCGATTCTAAGAATCGATTCCTCACCATGGTTTTCGATTCTTTTTCGATTCTTGTTTTTTAGATTGAAGGAACCTAATCTCACCATGACTGCAGGATATAAAGGTCACAGAAAGTAGCCTTCTCATAATATAAAGCTTTTTTTGTAACAATGACAATACATTTCTATAGCTCTGATTGATTTTTAAATTTTGTCCGCATTGCCCATTAAATTAGTCGTAGCCCACAGCTCAGCAGGGACATGTGTTTATCGCATGAATGGAACAAGACATGAAGTGTCTAAAATAAATGTGCACAGTTCAGCTGAATGATGAAGTTTAATTTAACTGTATGCTTTGCACAAAATTAACAAACTGTACACTGAAACAAAATAACCAGAACATTAACAACAACACTGATATAAGAGCTTGTGGTTGATATGTCAATCTGATGCGCTCTTGCCACTGATCTGTGCTCTCGATGTATTCTTTCAGAAATATCATTGGCCGATAGAAATATTTTTAAAAATAGCATTTTATTTAAGATGGAAATAAGATCAAGACCGTCGATCACGTCATGATCTATTCTGTCATGTAGGGCTCAAAACTCTTAAGCCAGTTCCACCGTAAAATAACCTCAGAATAATTTTTAAAAAACTGGTTCATTAAAACTATCTATCCGAAATAACCTTTTTGTGGAAACGAATCAGACTTCTAATCACTTTTAGCGAGCATGAGCTGAATTAATGGGTGCTTCTCAAATGGAAGGCTGCATCCTCAAACTCAGATGAGCATACTGACTCGTTTTCTTTCAGTTTATTTTCGTGAATTTAAACGTGTGCAGCCTCGTGGTTAGTGCGTCGACATATAGCGCAACTGCGCTCACAGTGACCCAAGTTCGAATCCCGCTTCGAGGTCCTTTGCTGATCCTGCTCCCCTCTCTCCACCCCAATACTTTCCTGTCATCTCTCCACTGTCCTCTCAAAATAAAAAGCACAAAAATCCACGAATATAGCTTTAAAAAAAATGTGTGCAGCCTTCCATTTGAAAGGCACGATAAGCTTTGTTGAACTGAAAAAGGCTCTGATTCCACATTTGTATGGAATAGATTCCAACCTTTGGAATCGACTCTCGATTCCCAACGCCTCTGAATCTATTCTTTTTGGAATAGATTCTTCTTTTTTTCTTTTTTCCCCAGCCCTAACTAGAAGAAGTCCATTCAAACAAATTCTTGTGTTGTTGAAATCAAACTGAATGCAATAGCATGTTTGCATGCAATATATAAAACTTTATTTTACTAAATGTAATGTATGGGACAAACAAGAGGTGACTTTTCACTGCACTGGCATTAGCAAAACTATTGCTGTCTGCCCAAAACCTCAGCACAACTCTTCTGCTCAATGGTAATCACACACAAATGCCAACATAACAGACACTCTAATAAATCTAAAGTATAACTTCACATTGCACACTAACAAGTATCCATTTTTACTCAAATAATACATAAAAGTTAATTTTAACATTTATTATTCTAATGCAGTTACATGCAGAGCATGTTGGTAACTAGGAATCTGCTGTCCAGTTTAAGTTGTTAGTATAAATTGAACAAGCAACAAAAATCATTTTTGAGTGCAGACTCCTGTAAGAACAGTTTTTGTTGTATATTCAAAATATATTGTAATACGTTCAAAATTGCAGTGTAAGAAAAAAGAAACAATGTCAGCATTTAGTTTGAATTTTGTGATTTCGGCTAGAACCTCAACCATGTTTTCTGTGCTTTCTGCATCATTATTACTATAAAGTAAACAAGCTTGAAAATTCCAATTTACAACCTTTGTATTCACTCATGAAATTGTTTCAGCCCAATAAATACAATATTAACACTTTATCTATGAGAGTTTTTCTCTTCAATATTGTCTTGGACTCTCTTGCTGCATTTCCCACGAACTAACATAGCTCTGTTTTGACGTAGTTTCAGACGTTTCTTCAGACTGAACATTTTTCCTTACACAATGGATGATGCGAGATAGAGATCACTGCTTTTCATCTTCTGAGATCTGTATAATTGACTGACATGAAAGCCCACAAATCCGTGTTGCGAAACAACATTTTCCCCATAATACCCATGAATTACTACATCAAGTTCTATGAAAGGATTCAAGGTTAGTGACTTGTTGCTATAGTCACAGATTGTAGATAGATGTGCTCTAAAACCAATTTTTCTCATATTAAAGGTCAAATTCACTTCAGCATAAAAATGATAGTTTCAGGTCTAGTGCATTTTCTGTGTGAGATCCTGAGATTCCAACATGGGTTAGGATTATATGACTTTCAACAACGTGTGAAAGCATCATTAGAATTCCCTTCTGACTCCAGCCACCCCATAATATACCCCTCCTAGTGCTCCAGGTCCAGTGCAAAAAATATGCCTTGGTTGCCATTGGTTACAAGAGACCACTCTGGAGCGTACTGGCTATTATGGACCATTAACTTAAGTGAGGCACTATAACCACAGATGCAATGGTTTCTGACTTACACTGCTTAACTAAAACTGACAATTTTATGCACTTAAAATATCTGATTTGAAAGTCAATATGTCTGAAATGCTCAAGTGAACTATTAAGGCTCTTGAAGCATGTGAAATGTTTCTTCTGATACACATGAAATCCAACTATAAATACTGACAGCATTTAAATATTGTCAGCCAGAAATCCTCATCTAAGGCCTACCACATTATATTTATAGATAGTTAAGTCACACTTAAAAACACATGAATGTCACTGCATTAGATAACAAAAAATTATTTAGACACTTATCAAGTGTAGCAGAACATGTGCAGTAGTTCCTCACAATAACTGCAGAGTAGATATGTGCGATGCCACATGGTTTGGTATTTTGTTATGCAATAAAATCCAAACATTTTAAAGTGTGGCTAAAGTTTCCAAATTAATCTACACTGATCTGCTTACCAGTGTTGGGCAAGTTACTTCCAAAATGTAATACATTATATATTACTAGTTACTGTCTTTTGAAAGTAATTAGTTACATTACAATATTACTGTCTCTGAATTGTAATGCGTTACACTACTTTTGAGTTACTTTTGAGTTACTTTCAACTGTAATATTATTACTTTTGTAATGCGTTACTCCCAACACTGCTGCTTACATGGCATTTCAATGACCATTTTAAGAGATTTTGAATTACCATCAGTTAAAATGATTAAAGTTAAACATAGTGAATGGCTAAATACACTTCAACTTATATCAACCATGAAGATTTACGAGGTCTGTCATGCTCCACTAGCTTTCATACCCATGTATGGATTTTCAGAACAAATACCAAACTAATACTGAAAGCGGCAACAAAATTACTGCAGTAATATCACTCCAGCATACCATCATATCTGGTAAAATCATACAAAATCTAGTTTTACAGAAAATAATCGAAATAAATGATGCCAAAACCAGGAAAACAACACATCCACCAAACAAACAAACAAACAAAACAAAAAACTCTTACCTTTCGCTTTGACCGTTCAGACTTCTTGGACATATTTTTCATTTTTTTATGAAGATGGTACAATACCTGCAATTCAAAGAAAATGTCACATTAATGCCTAAAAGTCTATGCCATTACTCATCCACCATTAATGATGAAAAAGCAGTGAGTGATGGCAGACTTTGTGTGGCTAGTGTTTTGACACTTCTCTGGAGAGAAATGACAATGATAAACTATAAGATATTACAGAATTTCAGGAAGTCATTCCAGCACTGCAGGGACACATTTATCATCATGGTCCTGTCCAACATTTACGCAAAATAAATACATTGATACACAGAGTAAACACTCTAACTCACATTAAACATAATAAAAGTAGTCCATGTTTTGTGGCAGTCACCTAAAATTGCTAAATAAAAGCCACTTGTAAAGTAAATGTTCAAAAACAGCATAAAATCTGTTGAAAGGTACAGCTTTTTTTCCTGTGTTGATGCATGGTTGACTACCCAAAGTAAAACAAATCTCTTATCTAAAAAAAAAAAAAGTATATTGCAGTCATAAACTACAATTTGTTACTTGCTACTCTGTTGCAAAGGGTTGCGAAGGAACATTCTTATATATAAAAAAAGAAAATCTGATTGAACAAATATAGTTTGAAATGAATCATAAAAATTTCTGGTCCAAAAGACATAGACTGTAAATTTATCAGCATAACAGTTAATTTTATTAACATATAGGAACATAAATGACTTTGTGTTGAAGTAAATGAATCAGAAAAAAACAAATGTAATTTCTACATTAAATAATTTAGTTCAGGCAAGAATAAAAAAAAGAGTCAATTCAATATTAGTACTCAATTTAAGCTTGTAGAATTTAAAGTTTGAACTTATAAGTATATTTTACTTGGAATTGTTTGTTATTTTGACAAAGATTGTTTAAGTAAATATCAAAGTCATGATCCCATTTTTCCCATCGTGCACTTGGGTAAGAATAATTAATAAGGTAAAATTATTTGCTGTTTTCGAGATGTATTTACACTGTTTTATGGTTGCTTTTGTTGTTAGGTTAAGTCAGTGGTTCTCAAACTTTTTACAGCGGCATACCTTCTGGGGCATTTAACATTCTTCTGCGTTCCCCCTCTCTTCCACTTAGACCACAGTCACACCTTTTCTATTAAAGGACATTATTTGTCCCCTTAAATTGATTTACATGTGCATTTTTTTTACCTTTATAGATGCAAAGATTTTCTATCTTTATTAACTGTATGTTATGTTTTATGTCATATTCTTAACATTCCCTTAAGTGTATTATTAATATAATAAATAAAGCAATAAATGATGACAAATAGAAGTGATACTTGTAGATTTAAAAATAAAACCGTCAATAGGTGGCGGCAAGTCGCCACCATTCATTCATTCATTCATTCAATAACGAAGCAAAATGTTGTAGTTATGAATGGGTTATTAATCACTGACTCTCCAAATCGTTCAAAGCCGCAGATTCGTTCACTAATGAAACACCGCTGTATGTTGCTCGGAGACGCACACCAGATGATACAGATTTCGTTGGAACTAGGCTATTATTATTTAGTTGCAAAATATAACAAACATGACAATATTCTGTTTAAAATGTAGGCTACTTTTAAAATGTTAAATGTTCACTTAATATGACATTTTTTGTTGAACTGTTGTAAAAATTGTCACATTTGCCATCGTTTGGATATTCAGGGAAATTTGCATTCTTGCTCGTATTTTAAACATGAAAACAATAACTCGCACAGGGTATGTGTCTTTATCGAAGAGAGTTTAAATCGATCTCAATGTACAGTGCGTGTCTTTGCTCTTCATGCTATTAAGTGAAGATCTACTTAAAGATACACTGAACAGCAGCGCGATTTGCTAAAGCAGCATATTCAGCGGCCATCCTATCACATGCACGCTGCTTGTGTGGATGCAGTCAGTTTTGACGGCTAAAGATGAGGTAAGCTGATTGGATATCACGTAGTTGACCGTTTACGGCACCCCCATTTTCCTGTTTTTACATTAGAAGCGGGCAAGCGGCATTTTGCTTGTCAGAAATACATGTTCGGTTTTAATGTTACTTTAAGTTTGGGTAGAATTAAATGAATGCCAAAACTCAAAATTTTGTTCGCGTACCCCCTCCGTCACCTCACGTACCCCAGTTTGAGAACCACTAGGTTAAGTAACTTGCTGTTTTGTGACATCTGGAGTTCATTTTTTACTCAAAATGACCCATTCATACTCAAACACTATTCACTGATTGTCACTGTTATTGTGTATTATGTGCCAAGTATTCAGGTCTCTGTGTTCATTCAGTTAATAACTATATTGAGTAACCATATTACCTTAAAAAGAATAACGAGCTGACTACTTGCTTACATACGTGATTGTAAGTAAACCTTATTGCCATTTTTTTCAGTGCTATGTTGTTTGAGTAAAGTTAACAAACCGTGACTGAGTGAAATGTACTTGAGTATTGCAAGGTAAATTTTAAATAATTAAGTAGAAATTACTCATCAGACTCTAACTGGCCACCTTAAATTTACTTATTTCCTTTGCTAATTTTACATAACTTAGTTACATAGATTTTACTTAATTCCATACTTAAATTTTACTTTAAAAATATACGTGCAAAAACTATGCGAGCACGCATTGATGCGTCTGGAAAATATATACTCTCAATTGGTCAGTGACGTCTGCGTGAGCTTTAGGCTACTGTTTAGGCAACTTTACCCAAATCTCCGAATCCAGGAAGTAAGCACACACCGAACTCTCTGTGTGGGCGCATGGCGACCTGTTGCATCCTTGACGTGCTAGGCAAAATAAAACACGAATGGTCCCTAAAAGTTCATGTGCTGCATTACCGCGGGAAGTAGGGGTGCTGAGTCGTGTAGCTCGAGAAAAATTAATTTTTTGTTTGCAACAAAAAATAAATAAAATTCATTTTATTAATTCTTATATTCTTTAAAATTCATTGAAAAAACTAGCCTTAAGCCTACGACATTATAAGCAAGAGTTAAGTTGAGTTAAGTTAAATCAAATTGACTGTGAAAGTCATTTCAACTTATTAAACTGACTTAAAAAATAATTTTTTGCCATGACTTTTTGATCATATTATTACATGTACATGTCTTCAGCAGCAAGCAATCCTGCATTCTCAGAACTGTATTATTTTGTATTATATTATAGCGATTATTTTGGTGTTTAATGCTAGACCTTTCTTATTCTTGTAACAAAATTAATGCTTAAGGTTGTAACACAAATAAAAAAAAAGTTTTGGGGATTTTCCCCTTAATTCAAATGAATGCTTAGTTTTTGGCTCATTAGGCTATTATTAATGAAAAAAAAACATATAGACTATACAATAAAATACTATTTTTTTTTAAATACACTGAACAAAATTATAAACGCAACACTTTTGTTTTTGCCCCCATTTTTCATGAGCTGAACTCAAAAAAAGATCTAAGACTTTTTCTATGTACACAAAAGGCCTATTTCTCTCAAATATTGTTCACAAATCTGTCTAAATCTGTGTTAGTGAGCACTTCTCCTTTGCCGAGAAAATCCATACACCTCACGGGTGTGGCATATCAAGATGCTGATTAGACAGCATGATTATTGCACAGGTGTGCCTTAGGCTGGCAACAATAAAAGGCCACTCTAAAAGTTGTCTAATCAGCATCTTGATATGCCTCACCTGTGAGGTGGATGGATTATCTTGGCAAAGGAGAAGTGCTCACTAACACAGATTTAGACAGATTTGTGAACAATATTTGAGAGAAATAGGCCTTTTGTGTACATAGAAAAAGTCTTAGATCTTTGAGTTCAGCTCATGAAAAATGGGGGCAAAAACAAAAGTGTTGCGTTTATAATTTTGTTCAGTGTATATTTTAAAAATAGTAGCAACAATGACATATAGTATATTCACTTATATTAAACTTAGAAAATGAATAAGGATAATATGTTTTACCCGCGTTGTAACACAAATGAATAATTTAGAGCGCTGCACGGGCCTCCAATCTAGGTCGTAGCCCAGCCCTTGCCCGACAGTTTATCAGAATTCTCGGCCCAAATCCGACTGGAGCCCGTGTCTTTTCTCTCTTCCCCATTATACAGCTGCTGTTGCAGTCATTAAAATAGTTCCGTTTTGTTTTTAATGGCAAAGTGGTTATATTTATTTTTGTTTCTTTGTTAAGTTAATTTAGAAATATGCTTGGAACATTTTTGTTTGTAAAATTCCAGTTTTTTTTTAATTATATATATAACGACCAAGCGGCCAAGGGCAGACAGTGAGTTGATCATAGCCTGTTTGATAAATTTAGCTTTCTCAAATCATCACGGCTTGAAATAAAATAAAATCTATAGATATAAAACACTTCAAGCATATTACAATGTTAGTTTAAACGTTTAACCTAGTTAAATGTGCGCTGTATCCCGAGAGTGCAAGCTAAAGCGCACTATGCAGGACATGGAGGCAACAGCACGATCACTTGCAGTGGAAACAACTTGAAATGCGCCGTCATTTTTGCTCATAAAGATAAGAGTAATACATCATTATACACCGTAAAGCAGTGGTTCTCAACCCGCGGTACGCGGGCCGCATGCGGCCCGTCACGAATTCAAATGCGGCCCACCGTGCTGAACACAATTTTAAAAAAATACTTTCAGTTTTACAATTCATTTTAGTTTTTACATTAATTTATAAATGTACTAAATAAATATAAGCTATAGCCTAATGTTTTTATGTAAAATAATTTTGTTTTTCATATATTATTTTCAGACATGAGCAGTACTCACATAGCCTAATTAACGTTACGCATTTAAAGTAACGACCAGGTGGCCAGCGCCAGAGTGAGCATATGTTTGATCAATTTAGCCTTCTCAAATCATCACGACTTGACTAAAATAAAATCTATAGATATAAAACAGTTCAAGCATATAACAATGTTTAAACGTTAAAACCTAGATAAATGTGCGCTGTATCCAATAGTTTGCGCAGATGGAAATGATATGCGTGCGGCCCGCAAGACTTGCACTTGGACCATAGTGTGGCCCGGTGGAAAAAAAGGTTGAGAACCACTGCCGTAAAGGGTCTACTTTTATTTGTGTGTACTCACAACAAAACGTTGTGTTTTTGTAAAATAAAGAAAACAAACAGGATGCCCTTTCTGCCGTCTTGTCATGAACAGGAGCAGAGCCGGCCCAAGGCATAAGCGAACTAAGCGGCTGCTTAGGGCCCCGTGGCCACCAGGGAGCCCCCAAGAGTACATGAAATGGCTTGATTATTTTTCGGAGTATCTATTTACACTAATAGCCAGCCTTGTTAGCAGAGGCTATTTACATTAACTCCGCCCACCAATGTGTGAACACTACAAAAGACAGCTAACAATCATCAGCTCCTGTGGTGCAGATGGTAAAACGTGTGACTTACTCATTTTGATGCGATCGACCCGGGTTCGAATCCGCCTTTTGGCGAACTTTTTTCTCATTTTCAAATTTCAGATCACATCAGAAAAGCATCTATTTTCAATGAAAATTAAGGAAATAATCAAAAAGTTACAAATAAAGTATCGGGTAGGTGTAGGGAGGGCTTTATTGTCCCAATAAGGTGGCATCCATTTAATAATTTGAATTAAAATTATAATTTACACTCAATACGTTATTACTGCATACTGTTTTATAATGTATTATAATACTGAGGTGCAGCTAACTGCCACTATTTGCAATAAGTAGTATAAATAGTTTTTGTCTTCTGTGTAAAAATAACTTTCCTGAGTATATATTTTTTGTAATAAAACAATTCTGTTTCATAAACTTAACATAACAGCTTAACATTATTTACCTTTGCCTACCTTTGGGGTCTTTGCTAGTATATTCCAATATCATTATGCCTCAATTAGTTAGTTATAGATTAAGAGTTGTTGTTTTAGATGTGTGTTTAATGATTTATGTTGTTAAAATAACATTCTTTTCTGTAAATGCATTGTCTGCTGGTTTATTTAGCTACTTTTCAGTACACCACATTATATACCACTTAGTACTGTAAGACTGAATGTTAAAGTGCAAATTAACACCTGACCACTCTTGTGGGTTTGCTACTGTTACAATAAAAAATCATAGAAGGGTAAAAACATTGGTGTGATGTAAGCAACACAGCTACAACAAATAAAACTGATAATGGGTGAGTTAGATTTATAGTGTGTGAATAATCAAGCATTGACAATAATCAGTTGTATTGGCGACACAGAGGGGCCCCCAAATAAAATTCTGCTTAGGGCCCCATAAAGGCTTGGGCCGGCCCTGAACAGGAGCGCTTCACTAAAATGAAACGAAACTCAGCGAATATTTGCCTCACATACATGATAAATATATCTATTGAAAGCTTCAAATTACTTTAAAACGAAATAATTCAAATCAAATATATAAACTCTTTCATTATATAATCCGTAAAGATGCATTTCTCTCTAAAGGCGCGTCGTCAACTTCATCTTTGAGACACTGACTCAGAAAACACTGGTTTATTAATAAATAATTCAAATATCTCTTTACTATTTCCCCCGACACATTCATGGTAATTATACTTTTTAAAAAAAAATCTCTGGTCGGGGCAGCCCTAGTTTTAATCCACTGTCTACTTGCGTTGTAACCCAAATAAATAAATTCTTGTTTTCCGGTTTTATTCCCTCCCCCCCGCTCAAAATACGTTCCCGCGGCTATGGTGCTATGGCCACAGTTTTGCTCATGGTGGATTATTAAACTCATTATAATAATCACGTGGACACGAGCTAGAGGAAGGAAGGAGTAAACAAACACGCGCCAAGTAGCTTTCATTTAAAAAACATTTAATAATTTCTTAAACGCTCATAAAAACCTTCTCATTCCCACACTTTAAACGAGAAATCAGTTGGTTCAAAATGAATGTAGAAGTGCTCCCTCGATAGTTCTACAAGAAACTTGTCTTATTGTCGATTCCTTACCTTGGCATAACAGCATGTGATCAAAACCAACGGTAACAGATACCCAGTCACGAGAATAGTCACTTTATAAGTGTGCTTGGCCATCCGTTCGGTCCATATCTCCCAGCAGAACGTGCTATTGGGAGCATTGGGGTGATCCGTCAAAATTTGGTGCTGCGCAGCCGGGACTGCAAAGATGAAGGAAAGCATCCAAATGACACAGACGCCAATGAGCGCATTCCTCCGGCTGCGAATGCACGGGGACTTTTTGGAGAGCACCACGGCAATGTACCTGTCCACCGACATGGCCACAAGCGTGAAAATGCTTACCAGCATGCTGACCATGACAAAATAGTGCACAAATTTACACAGAAAAGCCCCGAAGATCCACTCGGGAAGAGAGTATATGGTGGCCTGAAACGGGACGCAAAACAGGAGGAAAGATAAATCTGCTATACTGAGATTTAGGATGAAAATGTTAGTGGTGCTTCTCGAGCGCCTCGACTTTATTTTCCCAATGACAACCATCACTAGAGTGTTTCCAATGATACCCACGAAAAATATACATCCAAATATGACGGGCACAATAACAACCTCCGGACCGAAACTGTCGGTCGTGTGGTTCGTGTCCTTATGCTCCTCAGTCCAAATTTCCGTTTCATTTCGGGATAACCCCATGTTTAGCCTACAAGGATTCAATAAGTCCGGTCGAAACAAAAAAGCACAAGTCCGTTCAGAAGCACAGAACAATCATCCCCCAGTTTGATTTCTAATTTTCTCAAGTTAGCGCGTACTGACAAATCTTTGGCTCATTTGTGGAGAACTCCTGAAGGCTGGGAAATGCACCGGCTGGGTGTGAAGCACTAGTCAGAACGCACATCATACTACACTGGCGCGTACTCTTTCCCGGCAAGGAGACGCTGGGGCACTGACACACGCTCAGTGCGTAAAGTTTCCGCCCGGAAGCGTTTAAAACGACCCTGCGTGTTGATTTGGCCATGATCGATTCAGTGTTATAATAGTAGAGCTTCTCTGCAGTTTAATTAACCTAATAACTATTTTTCACTTGTCATAAAGATAACTATGTCGTTGGGTCAAAGAGCACTGTTTGTGTTTGTCATTATGAACTTGGCTTCATCTAGAAATATGTCGGAGGACCTTTACACTTGTTCTCACATTATCTTAAGGTGTCACGAATCACGATACAGATAACCTCACTCCCTCGCTTGTTTGTAGGTTGCATTTGATCAGCTAGGCTACAACTGCTGAAATACACAACTCACAATTAAAACATATTTTATTAGAAGTACATACTTTTCATTCCACCCACACAAATAACCTTAATAAAATGACGCAAGACTGTTCAATGAACTCAATAAAAGAAAAATATCCCTAAACAGTTTCCTGGATGTTATAGCAGCTGTTACTGTGATATGTTCTTGTTCTTGTTCAGCTTTATTGTCCTTCTATTAAAATATGAGATTACAGTGCAACTCCCTTTAGTGCAATTTAAAAAACACATAGTACAACATTAAAAACACAATAGAACATTACATAATAAGTTATTGAAAGTAAAAAATGGTATAAAAATATAAAAATAGCAGCATGACCATAAATAATTAATTAGTTGTTGGATTATTTAGTGTTCTTATGGCCCATGGGAAGAAACTGTCCCTGAGTCTGGAGGTTCGAGTCTTAAAGGGGTCATATGATGCGATTTCAAGTTGTCCCTTCTCTTTGGAGTGTTACAAGCTCTTGGTGCATAAAGAAGATCTGTAAAGTTGCAAAGACTAACGTCTCAAATCCAAAGAGATATTCTCGATCTGTAGCGCCTATAGGGCAACTGATCAGATAGGTGGTGGGCTGGGTGGGAGGAGTCTGACATGATGGACCCGGCCTTGAGGCAACGGGAGCTGGAGATCTCCTCTAGGGAGGGCAGAGGGCAACCGATGATCTTTTGCGCTGAGTTAATGACCCTCTGTAATGATTTCTTCTTGTCTCCAGCCAAACTCCCAGCATACCACGCCGTGATGGAATAAGTGAACACACTCTGGATAGTGGACTGATAGAAGGACACCAGCAACCTTTGTTCCAACCCGCTTTTCCTGAGTACTCTCAGAAAGTGGAGGCGCTGCTGGGCCTTCTTTATCAGTGCTGTGATGTAGGTGGTCCAGGAAAGAGTCTCTGAAATATGTACTCCAAGGAACTTAAATGATGTCACTCTCTCTACACAATCTCGATTTATGTGGGGGGCGGGGCTTTTGCGGCATTTAACACCAGATTGGTGTTAAATGCCGCACCTCTTCTCTATATGCCGTCTCATCCCCTCCTGAAATAACTTTATAATTTTATTTGTGGGGTTTTATTTGTATGTTTTCTATTTTTAAAATATGTTCCTGGGTACAGTTCTTATTGTTATGCAAAATGCTAGTTAACCTGAGATTTAAAAGCAACACATTACCGTGAAGAGGTTGCAGGTACAGTGATATCAGGGGTTCCCAGTCAGTCTCACATGGAATTTTGACACCCCAAAGTCTATTTCATAATTCATCTTATTCTGGCCAAGAATTGTCTACATTAACAGTAAAGCTGTAGACACTACAGGATTCGAGGCTTCTCAATTAATTTGGACCCCACAACACAGCAAACCTTTCCAGTTTGTGTTCTTTGAGTTCAGCCAAGAGGTCAAGCTGTGACATTTAGTTGCTTTAAATGTCCTTTCGCTATGTGAAATTGCAGGTTGAACCATGGTACATTGCCAAAAAATCTTCACATGCACTTTTGCTTTCAGTCGACCAAGTTCGTATGTGCACCTATTAATCAAATGTTCACAGCTTACAGCTTATAAAAATGACTGATCAACAATAGTGGCCTGCTATGGATGGTATTTTTCCAAATTGAATTAAATGTCCATAAGCAGTGATGTGTATTAGTAATATCAAGAGATGGTGTTTCTTGTAATACTTTGTATTTTGTTCTCCAAAAGTTACAGAGCTGAGAATGACTTCACCTGTAATTCCATCAGGACCTGAAGACATATACTTTTGAGACATTTAATAGATTCCATTACTTACACAGTGATGATGAGCTCATCAGTGCATTTAATTTCTGCAGCATCAGTGGTGTTCAAGTCATCTAATGAATCTAGCTTCCTCACAGCAACTGAAAGTACAGTATATGATGAAAAAATGATAGCAAAAGTAAAAAAGGCCACCGACATCAAACTTAGAGGTACCAATCTTTCTGGAATTCAATATAAGTTAAGAAGAATTTTGATTGCCATTTATCTCTTTCATTCAGTCGTTCAGCTTTAATTCTGTAAATATCATCAAGCTGGTTCAAATAGAGTGACATTTTCAATCTTAGACAGACTGTCAGGGGGCCTTGGGTAACTATAACAATTTTCCAATTACCACTGTCCTCAGCCTTTCTAAGCTTGGTAAGAATATTGTCATAACTGCTCAAATAGTTTACAATATTATATTTAACTCCCATTATATAAGAGTTTCATTCACCTGTGAATGAGAGTTTATGAGAGTTTATTGTTAGCTTCACTTTATCATGAGCTTTTAAGTTTCCAGTTGGATGGTGTGAAATCCTAATTATTATGTAATCTGGCTTGCGGTTAGTTAGAACAGAGTGAAGAATGCTGACATATTCTGAGCAGCAACAGGTTCAGTATTGAGCCAAAAGTCTATGTGAGAACGAAGAAGTCTTTGTTACACAAGGCAAATGTTCTAGAAAATGTAATCCTCTAAAGCCGTTCCTCAGCATACTGACACACCTACTGAATGCTCATGAGAAAACATCACCCCATTCACATATCTACGTATCTAAATTAATTAATTATGGAAATTATTCCTGATGAAAAAACAAACAAACAAAACAACTGAAAAAAAGGATACTCCTGACATCAATTTAAGACCTGAGGTCAAAAGACTGAATGCAGAAAACCTTTCATTTTATGCAAAACCTTTAAGGTTAGGTGAAGGTAACAGACTTTTGTCTAAAGACACATGAATAGATGAATCTTTGAATAGATGCCTCCTCATAATTTTAAAAGCAAAATAGCAATGAATATTAAACTTACATAAGTTCAATATAATAGAAAATCGCTTCAAAATAGATGTGGGAGGATCATTCAAAGTCGAAAAAAAATATCCTCAATGAATGCTGGTGCTCTGACATAATATAGTAAGTACTCATTCCTGCATCTGTCACACTTTTAACTGTGATTTTGAGCATCAACTCCAAAACGTACAAAAGCACTAGATATACAAAGTAAAAGAAAAGCTGCCAACAAAAATCCAGCATACATGAATACATGAGCATAATGCATTAATTGACACCTTCAACACTATGTAAAAAGCACAGCAGGCTGCACCATACGAAGATGTTGAGAGAATGTGGAAGAGAGTGTGCAGAACTGTAATCTATGCACGGGTGATGCATTGTGACTGTAAAAATGTATATTTTAATTGTTAATCAGGTCCTACAATAAATAAAAAACTACTTTACTTAATCTTGGCTCTCTTTGTTTGCAGGTCCAGTATAGTGGGAAAGTCAAGAGTAAATAGAGATTAGTATAGTCTTTAACTTCTTGATCTTAATGAATAGCAGCCAGTTTAGTAACACCACATTTGACTTCAGTAGACTCTAAGAAATACAGACATATCAGGGCAGATAAATATCCACTCAGTGCATTCTTAAGGAAACTTGCAGAGGTTTTGGCAGCAAAACAAGTCCATAGTTTTTACTGTATATACAGTTGTGCTCATAAGTTTACATACCCCTTGCAGAATATGCAAAAATGTTCATAATTTTAACAAAATAATAGAGCTCATGAAAATTGCATGTTATTTTTTATTTAGTACTGTCCTGAATAAGCTATTTCACATAACAGATGTTTATATATACTCCACAAGAAAAAATAATAACTGAATTTATAAAAATGACTCAGTTCAAAAGTTTACATACCCTTGAATCTTAATACTGTGTCGTTTCCTGGATGATCCATGACTGTTTTTCTGTTTTGTGATAGTTGTTCATGAGTCCTGCGTTGGTCCTGAGCAGTTCAACTGCCTGCTGTTCTTCAGAAAAATCCCCCAGCTCCTGCACATTCTTTGGTTTTCTAGCGTCTTCTGCATATTTGAACCTTTTCCAAAAGTGACTATATGATTTTGAGATCCATCTTTTCACACTGAGGACAACTGAAGGACTCATATGCAACTATTACAGAAGGTTCAAACGTACACTGATGCTCCAGAAGGAAAAAACATGCATTAAGAGCCGGGGGGAGAAAACTTTTGAACAGAATAGAGATGTGTAAATTTTTTTTATTTTGCCTAAATATCATATTTTTTCATTTAGTACTGCCCTTCAGAAGCTACAGAAGATAGTTACATGTTTCTCAGAAGACAAAATAAGTTAAATTTACCCTGATCTTCAAATTCAAAAAGTTGGTTGCTTAAGTTCTTGCAACCTTGTTCTGGCACAGTATTCTTCTCACCAGACATCGTGTGGCATCGAGTGCCAAATCCAACTGTGATAGATCAGAGGAGACGCACTCAGTGATGTTTTTTTTTTTTTTTTTTCAGAACTGGACCAGGATCATGGTTTGCACACTTGTGGCCTTCTTTTTTCCATTGTGGTAATGTGCTGTGTGCTGTGGTATTATGATTGGTTATGGTGGTCCCAAGGAACTTGAGTGACTCAATTATACCTGCAGCTGTTACACCTATTTCCAAAAAGAGGTGGGTTCATTTCCAAGAGCAGCCCTGTGGCACTCCAGTGCTCACAGTTGTGAAGTTTGACAGGTTGTAGCCCAGGTGTTTGTGATCCATTGGCACAAAGATGGTGTTATATTTACTTCTGTCAGAGCTAAAGTTCACAAACAGCATTCTGATGTATGTGCCAAGG